TTGGTCTCTCCAATGTAGAGGTCTGGGCATTCCTCGCTGCACTGTACAGCATACACCACATTGTTAAGTCTGTGTTTTGGCGTTTTATCTTTCTGGGACTCTCCACCATTTGACCTTAGAACTGAAGAAGCTTCTCGGATGAGAGGTGAAACGTCTTCAAGTAACTTAAAGAAGTCCAGACGCTTTTCTTTGCAAGCTCCTTTGACTATTCCCCGTGATCCACCACTCAAGTACATTCAGGCAGGCATGTCTCTTTACAGCAATATAATACTTGTTTCTATAGAGCTCGTGCTCAGCCCTGTCGTCCACGTTCTACATTTGTAAAGGCAGATGGTCAAAATGCTGAACAGTTCATGTCTTCTGCTGCAAATGAAAGTTTTTAATGACAGCACACCATGAATCTGTTTTCACTGTGAGTAATATTAGCTCATGTGGGCTAATCTCAGCAAACCGCTATGCTACGCTACATTTTAGCATTTGCTACTTTATACTTGAATTGGTGCCTGAGGAAACAGGCTGTACTGATCAGGAAAAGTTACAGCATTGAACTAAACTCACATGTATCACAGCCCATTAACCTCCAGCAGTGGAGCTGCTGCAGCCAAAATGACATCTATTACCCATCTATAATTGGATTAGCTTCATTTCTGCTGTGTGGGCAGCATATTAGGTTGCGCAATAATCTTTGTTGTCATATTTTGTCCTTCAATCCACTTAGACCTGCAAATGGCCACTGACTGTGAAAGAATGCAGCACACTGCATACAAATGGCGAATAGTTTAATCTGCTGCTCACAAATATTGACTGGTGATAGTCTTGTCCCCACCAAGTATTTGCACACTCTGTACTGCCTGCATTGATGAGTTTTTGTTCCGAGATCTGCAGAAGAGCAGAGACAAAAAAAGCTCGGGCCTTGCATAATGACACTCAGCTCTTGACGAGAGATAAGTGTACGCCCTGTTCCTTTACTAGGTAACTTCAGAGTGTAAACAGCCGTCTTGAGGAAGTGAAAAACAGTGTGAACATGAGAGCACCATGTGGCTGACTGGTCTGATGTAGGTCAGAGTTCATCTGTGCCATCTGGATTCAAAGTGCTATATAGGAGAGAGGAAATCAAACTCTAGAGTCAAAAGCATTGAAAGGAAGCTCCCGCAGTGAACAAGCATGGGCAGGGAGTTGAAAATTTGACTGTAACTCATCACTGAAAGCGTTATTATGGGTCATAAATAGCGGAGGCGCTTCCCTCCAGCTCCCCTCTCATTGTCCTCATCTGTCCATCCACCCGTCCATCGAGGCGCTGTGCTCGCCACAGGGGCGAAGCTTGTTAGCCAGCTGCTCGAACCCCCTCACCCCATATGGACGTTACTCCCTGCACTAATTGGAGCAAAGGTGAGCTACAAAAAAAATCACTACACCCCAGCCAGGTCATCCAAAACAACAAGCCCCCCCCAAATTCCTGCGCTACAAGGGAGCAAGTTGGCTGACCTTTGGCTCGCTTGGTGAAGAAGAGACAGAGGACATGTAGATCCCCGTCTCAGCAGATTCTGTGTCACGATGACGGCAGCCCGCTCACAAATCTATGCAGTCAACAGGTTCAGATTTCCCTGCTGACGCTGCAGCACTTCCTCACTCTGGCCTGTGATGATGGCTCTTTTTATGCCAGACTTTTGCAAGAGTTCTGTTATTATATTGTAAATCATGGGAAGAGCTTTGATTTAAGCAACTGAATGGAAATTATCAAGGAAAAAGTAATTCAATGTAATCCTCCATTATTTCATTATAAGCAGGGTGTTTAAGGACAACAGAAATCACTCTGGGGGGCAGATTCTCTAATAAATAATTTTAATCCAGGCCCTTAATCCCTAGTTCAAATAAATAGCTCCCCATTCAATTACCAAATATTCAGTACAGTTAAAAGAGGAACAAGCCCACTGCAGTGTTGATAAGTCAGTCCCTGACTTTTCTGCCATTCACTTTTGTCTGGTGAACGGAACTGTTATCATTGGCATTAACTTCGGTGAGCACACTTAAAAGTGGGAGAAAACAAAATCACGTGTGTGAATGGTAGCAAGCCCGAAGCAGTGGGAAAAAAAGAAAAAAGAAACATAACAGATCTAGTGCTTGTGATACTGCTGAGCAAAACAAGCTTACGTCACACTGGGAGTTTCTGTGACTGACTCTAGTTCTTAGTCAGAGTCAGCTGCTGAGACCACTCTTTTCCAAAAACATGTCACAAACTGGTTTGGTCTGCTAATCATGAAAGGAGAAGTAGGGATTAATGGGTTCAGCAGCGTGAGGACAAAGTGTGGGCGGGTGCGTCGATGGGAGAAGCAGCTGTCGGGCTCGATGAGGAAGAGATAGCAGAGTTTCCGTAACTGCAGTCAATAACACTTAAGTCAGGCAGACTGACCAGAGAATCAGCTGTGGCCTCACGTGCTAACAGACACACTGTAACTGGAAATGGCCTCTCCACAACAGACAAAAGTATGCTCCTGTGATCACAAATTTGTGACGCAGTATAAACACACATTTTTCTCAAAGGGGATTCATTAAGTCTGTATATATGAACCAGCTCTTGATCATGAAAGTGATAAAAAAGCAGCTGACTCTTCATGCAGTACTTTTTAACACCAAGTCAGATGACATGAGAGTTTTCATAAAAATGTTTTAGTTGCAATTCCAACTTGACAGATAATATTTGCAACCTAATTATGATAGATAATGGCTTGAAAATTGTATTCATACTGTTAAATGTCAGCCATAGGGTATAGTATATCTGCCGAACACTTTTTGGCAATCCATCCAACAGATGTTTGTTAAGCTAGCTAAAAATCTGTGTGTGTTTTTCAGTCCCAGTCCCTGTAAGACTTCAGAGAACAGCCGCTTGTTTTGGTGCTTTTTCTAATCATCAGAGGAATGTGTTGCCTATGTTTCTCGGCCTTCAAGGTACAGTATGTGATCACGTAGTTCTTGATCCAACACCTTCCCAGTGTTTGCTCTGGAAATTTCACCTCTGTCCTCACCTTTCTGCTTCACTAAATACAGGCTTTGCTAATCCCTTACTACTTCTATTAGTTTTCTAATCTCCACGTCATCACAAATATCACACTTGCTGTGTTCATTTCTGTTGTGAGTGGTGCAGGAACAGACTGAGAGCAACCTTATACCTCTCTGAAGGTAATAACACCCATCACTAACCGGGTTGTTGCTTCGTCCCTGAATAGCCCTTTTGTTAGCTCTATGGTCACAGTGTATCCCTGCACAAAGTACACACATAGATGATGGGCCCTGTATTTGAACAGCCACTGAAGGTCTATTTTATCTTCCGAGCAGTGACCTGGAGATAAGAGATCAGGGACTGGTTATTGGGTTCAGCAGGTGTGTGGGTTTTATTTATTTTTTTGGTAATGCACGTGCTTAATAAATGGCGTAAACATAAAGACAACTATAAAACGCCAATATATCTAGAGACACAAATATGAAAGCAAAGAGTGGGCATTTGGGTTTTTGTTTGAAGGGTATCCATATAACTTATCATTTCACTTATCATTTCAGCAAGCTGTCAATATCATCAGTGTGATTTATGTGAGTGAAAAGAAATGTTTCTTTGACAAATGCTCCTTTTTGGCTAGCCTCAAGGACTACAGAGGTTGTTTGTGTTTTTTGCATCAGAACAACCCTTTTATCACTGAGGCTTGATACAAACAGGTGGATTATTTAAAGGCACGCTAACAGCTTAGCATCACTGTTAAGCCACGCACAACTTCAACAACACAGGCTAGCACTGATGAACGAAATTGCATGGGCTAGAAGCATAGGGTTTAAATCAGTTGGATAACTGGAATTGGTTCTTGATTCTTGTGTTTTTTTAGTATAGTAGTTACCTTTGGCAAGTGTTCTTGTCTATCCTTACATCCTGAAGTATAGCAAAAACTACACATGGAAGTTGGGGACCTATGCAGCGGCCACGTTAGCATTGCATTATTTTGTTGATAAGGCAGGCGGAATGGGCTAAGAAGTGTTTTATGACCAGGGGGGCATCCTGATTTGATTTGCAAAAGCCAATGTGCAAACAATGTTACTGAGCTTTCCAATTTAGTACAGCACTTAAAAGACCAGCAAACAGATCTGAGCAAAGTTGAAGGAGTTTGCAATGGATAATGTAAGCAAAGGTAATGAAACAGAGTCAAGTTAGATGGATACATTTCAGTCTGTGTCCTGTAGAAAAATATAACGTTTAACATTTTAAATAAACAATCTGCCATCATCAGTGATTTAAAACCATTTTTTTATTAACACACCCAAATGGAAAAGGTTTAAATAGAAAAAACAGTATTCCCAAAATAACTTTATGTTAGGCATGTAACATCATAAATCTTTAGAAAAATTGCCCGAAAACCCCCCGACCATAATACTCGATGTGCTTCAGCTGTTAAATTTTAAACACACTTTAACTCTACTTGTTTATTAGCAAATATTAACATTAGCATTTAGCGCTACCTTATGACAACAGTACAGATTTGCTAGCATACCTGTGTGAGTCAATACTGTAAAACTTTTTTTTTAATAATGTTTGCTTCAAACAAACGCACAGGCGCGCTGTAACCTGGACAGCGCTCACTCATTGTTATTTGGTGACAGTGCTGAATGTAGTGAGTGCAAACAGAGGAGCTGTGACCCACTTATACATAATAAGTAGACTCTACGTGTTTGTTGATTATATATCAGAGGGGCTTCGGGCAAGACTGACTCAGGCAACTGAGTAAGACTACAGTCTGCATCTACTGTCTTATCACTGGACCGTGCAAACATTCTGTCATTGCAATTTTTTGGCCACGGCACACTTTTGCGCATAGTTTGTACGCCACCAGGAGTGTGTGTCTGTTTGCGCTGAGTGTTTAAAACTGAAATGAAAAAGGCAGTGTGACGTGACAAAGACGTCTGGGTGAGGAGTGGGAAAATATGCTGAGTCTTTCGTGCAGAAAAAAAAGAAGAGAAAATTCGATTCAGCCCTCTGAGAGGAAAGAACAGAGAAATGAAAGGAGGAAGAGGGTTTTGCTGCAGCAAGTGGAAACTTCAGCACCCTGATGCTGCTTGACCATTGAGAACCAGCTCTGACTGGTCCTGTCCTGAAACACAGGATAGTCATAAAGAGCAGCCAAGTGGGCCATAAGAACAGCAAACACCAGATGACAAACACCAAAAGGCATACTTCATTCAACCTGACGTCATCTCGCTCTCTCGCTTATTAGAAGTCAATTTCTTTTTCTAAACATATTTAGGGGTGAAACCAGCAAACAACAAAGCCAGCAATGTTTCCACCAGAAATATGACTTTGGAAGGGTGGGGATGTCTCTGAGCTAACATTAAGATCCAACATTGCAGTCATTCCAGCCCCTCAGCCACCCCGATCAGACCATTCATGTCGCTACGTAACACTCGATATTAGCGATAGCTGCTCTGTCTGGCCAGCTTCCATCTCACATTACTGAATAACTCCTGACCTTTTTCACTCCAACATTGTTCCCCTACGTTTTGTGCTGTAAACAATTTATATAGTATACTGTGCTTCCTCCATCTCACTCCAGCCTGATCTTACTGCTTTTTGTTACAACTCCCATCACTTCAGCGGGTGGAATGAAGTGCTGTGTGCGCACTTTACACATTGTCCAACTGAGAAGAAATCACTCCCCGTTTCTCCTTTAGCCACATCTCAAAGTTGGAAAGTGACTCAGTGAAGAGAACATTTACATTTCGCAGCTATGACCACAAGTCAGAGAGCTTGCTGGTAAATAAATGTGTTTTCAGATAGAGAAATAGTCTCTGCATTCAAGACATTGGACAAAAAGCAGATTTTTGAGCAGAGCTTCAGATTGAAACTTAGCAAACAGGGTGGGATACGAAATGTCCCACCAGCCAGACAAAAACAAGAGGCGGAGCTTGGCGTGTGCCTGTGGGTGTGGTTTTACAGTATGTATATGTATATGTATGTAGAGGGGTTTGTAACTTGAAACTGCTTACAAGTCAAGACTGTAAGCAGAGAGAAAGTCATTATTAACCACAGCTCCCTTCCTCTCTATTGTCTCCTGTGCTCATCCTTCACTGCCTGTTTTCATCGACAGCTTGGGACAAAGAGTTTGGGTAGAATGTAGAATTGAGGCAAAGACAAAGAGTAAGAAGGGGAGAAGCCAAATGAACAGAGACTAAAAAGAAACGTAAAACAGTAGAGGAAGGGGATGATTTTGGGAACATGCACAGACACACAGTGGGAAAATGGCACAGGTCACGATGACCTGAGGAGTTTCGGTGACCTATGATAGTCCAAATGCAGCTTGAGAGCTTTTCCACGCCCTGAAAAATAAGGTTATAGTTTTCCTCTCACAACCCTTCACACAGACCTTCAGGAAAAAGAGAATGGAAACAGATAAGCATTCACACAGCAGCACTTTTTATTTGCCTCTTTCTCAGTTTCCCCAGCATTTGACCAATTTAAATTACAGGGGCTCCACTTTTTTATGATTAGGTTTTATTTTTCAATACTTCTTAGCAACATGGAACAATAAAAATTTTAAAAAGGTTAAATTTAGAAGTTTTAAAAATCTTCTACGACCTTCTGAATCTATCGATTATGTGCTTTTTAAGCTCTGCAAACACCCTGACACAGACACACTCACACACACAGAAGTGGCAGTATAACTGAAATGTTTGTCTGGACCTGCAGGGAGCGGTAACTCAGCTAAAATAACACACACACACACACACACACACACAGAGTTTCGACGGTCGTGTGAGAGCAGCTAAAACTGAAACAGGAGAAGACGAAAACAGCCAGGCTCAGACTAGTGTGTGTGTGGGGGGTGTGGAGGGAGGAGTGCAGCAAGATAAAACCAGCTGAACAGCTAGTGCATGTATCTGTCAGGGTCCTAATACACAGCCTGGAAAGGAAATGGAAAAGCATGGGTGGAGAAGACAGACACACATACACACACTACCCTCCTGTTGCTACTTCCTGTTTGAGCCCTTTCTGAGAGAGTCCACCTCGGCTGTTCAGGCAGGAAGAGAAATACTGTAGCTACCATGAAGCAACAAAGTGATACACGCGCGTGCACACACACACACACACACACACACACACACACA